CCTTTTCCTATCCCTCCTCTCTTGATTTTATTTTTTCTTATGCAACCGAGCCTTTGGAAACATTATCCGTCTGCCAGAGGTAAAAAAAAACAACAAACGAAACAAAGCGAGCACATTGTTAAGGAGCAGATGGATAGTATTCGTTCTTTGCGGTCTGTTTGTTATGGCAGCAGAGAGCTCTGTCGAGGTGGCTGTTCTCGTTTTAATTGAGCAGCAGAGGGCTGGTCTCCCTACCCTCTCGCTCCTGCTGGCTGCCAGCATGACTAACCTGACCTACATTTGCAGCCCTGGCATGTGAACTGTGAGCAGCACCAACTGGCTGGAATGCACCGCCAAGCCCGACACAGACAGACAATTTTGCTAGCTTGCGTCACCTCGATTCTCTAACCCCGTTTAATTATTTTCGTTACACGACAAAAAAAAATAAGAGCATATGGGGGCGGTCTCGTCCATCTGTGGCTTTGCAGTGCAAGTTAGAGTGCTTTTTAAATTGCATTTCACCGACTGGTACATCCTCAGGACACTCCAACCAAGCACATCTGGAACTTTGTCATTGTAATTTTCATTACTGTTTGAATCTGACACGGGCTGAAACTTTTTATTGGGACAGGACTGATTTGTTTTGGTCCTAGAAATTGACAACACTTTTTAATGAGGGCGGGGAAAAGTGTTGTCATGAAGATAAAATGTCGTAACGACCTTTGGTAAACCTGACAGCTGTTCTGCGTTTATTCCTTGACCTTTAATAGGCTTCACTAGACAGCAGTGTAGCAGACTAACAAAGCTTCTTATCAGAATCGATTGAAAAGAGGGATCTTAATAATTTTATAACGTCAAAATGTGTGATTTTGTTTGATCTCTCCATTCCTGTATACCTCTCATAATCAGCTTGAACCCAGTGTGACTTTATAGTTACGTCTTAGTAAACAACCAGCACCTACAGTATGTGCCAGTATTGTAATAACGGCTGCTTCCTGACATTTGAAATTGATCTTATTTTTATAGGGTTCTACTTCTGAATAGAAAGGTGTGCATGGTATATGTGCACAGACCATACCAGAGCACGTCCTGTTTGGGGGCACAGCTTATCAAATAATCGCAGTCCTTTTCCTTGACAATCTGAGCCCGAATTAGGGCTCCTTCTCCAGTTTTCATCAGATGGCCCTACTGCGTTATAATTTTCCATCACCATTCCACATGCCCAATGACGCGCTGGATCCTCTTAATACTTGGTTGTGTAACGACTGTATAAATCTGACAGGGACACTATCCTGTGGATTTCAGAATTGAATCGGATGACGCTTATTTATAGGTCTGAACCCCCTTCCCACAAGTGATCCCGACCCACAAAAGCTGCTCTCTGCTAGCTGTGCGCCTCAAGATGTGAAACCTGCGTCATCCTGTGTTCAGCGTGCGTGTGGAAATGCACACAGTAACATTCCCGTCTGCGGGCAAATCAGCAAGGTCCCTGCAGCTACAAATCACGTGCTCAGCGTGTCCGATAAACACAGATACCACCTTGTCAGAGGCTTTGACATAGAAATCGGTAATAAGCACTAATGTTAGAATGAATTAACTTGTTCTGCTTTGTTAATAATGCCCGTCTTGAAAAAACTGTATCCATTACTCCAGGTTAGGGTGCATTGTACACATGACTCTAGGTTAGAGTGCGTTGTTTTGCAGTTCTGCTCACTTTGTGTTCGTGGTTAGGTAACAAATTCAACAGCATCTTATACATAGATCTCAAAGAAACGGTTTGTGTTTCTTGGAACGAACAGTGAGACATTCTGCGCCACTGCAGGCTGTTTTCGTAGTACCAGCTTTTGAAGATGTCAGCTTTGTTTTGGATTCTGACCGAAAAAGCTGCGCTTCCGATCGAACATTGTGCATTACTCTGGAGTTCACCATTTTTTTCCAGTTATGTAATGTGTGATTTTGCACTGCCGATAGAAATCTCAGAGGTTGCCACAGACCAGATGTGCCTGCAGTGTGGCGTTTGCCTGAACCAGCCAGCTTTCTGCTGGGAAAGGCGATTTCTGCCTCTGTTTGCCCTATAGCAGGCCTCAAGTTAGTTAGCAAAACTCCGTTCGCAAAATTGCCAGCCTTTTCACTGCCTTCTGCTGCCTACCTGAAGTCAGTCTGATTTACCCGAGAACTAAAAAAACAGAACACTGGCAGTCTTGTAGAGCATTACATTACAAAGTCCTTGCACAATACAGTCGTCACTTTTAATTACTTAACGAGGAAGCCTGTTTCTCCGTTAATCCCATCGGCTAAATCCACATGGATCGCACCCTTCTCCTCCCAGCACTGTCAGACCGTGCAGACAGGGCTCATGCATGTTTGTTTGGCAATGGATGGACTGATAGGAGTTCTCTTGGGCTACTTCAATGTGCATTTATTTGCTTCTGAAATATATTAAATGAAGGGGACACAGTTCGTGTCGGCATTCGTATGCAGAATGCCGACACCGTGCCTACAGTACTGAAGTATCCCCATGTAAGGGTGCTGGCAAACATGAAAGAGATTTTTTTTTTCCAAACCTTTCATGAGATTACATCACCCTTGTTTGAGTTTTAGCAATTTCTGTATGCCTGGGTAGGCGTTGCTCAAAAGGTTTTAAAAATGTAATGTCTTTGCATTTCTCGGAATAAAGGGCTGGATTTTAAAGGTACAGGTAATAACAGCACACAATCCCACAGTAAAAGTTTTTAAATTAAGGTCAGTGAAGGGAAACGACAATACTGGATGTTTCCTTTAATAAATGTAAATCCCATCATCTCTCATCCTTGAACTTGTGAGGTGCGCCAGCAAGAATTACTGAACATTATACAGATCTTACAGCAGTAATAGGCGAGATGCCATTCGGCCCATCTAGCTTATTTTTTTTTTCAGGAGCTAACTGATCAGAAGATTAGATCCAGAGACTTCTTGGAAAAAAGCCAGGATAGTGGCTTCAACGTGGTTAGGTAGCTTGTTCCATGTTGCGACATTTTTGTGTAACAATGTGCCTCCTCTCGTTTTAAATGCACTTTCATTAAGCTTTCACTTATATCCCCCTCACTGAGGTTTCACTTTTGATTCTGAAGAAATCCATCAGATTGCCTTTGAGGATTTTGAATCATGTATACTCTATTCAAGATTTAGAGCTATATGTTTTGTCAGATTAGGACATTCCTTTAAACCCAACGATGTACAGTATCTGGTTGCTCCTCTCTGAAATTATCCAGCAATGTTTTTTTTTTATTTTATCTTGATCATAATTGTACAATATATTCTAAATAAGGACTTAATATTGCATTGTATAATTTTAAACTTAACCAGTCTAGATTTGAATACTACATTTTTTAGTATATCCTATTGATATATGACTACATGGCAGTGTCTGTGGTTTTACAACTAAACCAGCTGATTACTGGTGTAAAACTGGACCATCCTAATTGGTACTGCTGCTGTAAGGAGACCTAGGAACATGAGTAATCCCTCCAGAACTAGCACTGGACACCCTGGTAGCCTCATTAGTAACATTTTCTGGACATTAGCAGGGTTTGCCCATCCTGAACTTCCACTGTTCCTATTCCGAGTACAGAAAAGTACACGAAACCACTTGAACAGCCTGTCTAGCTCTGTCCGTTCCCCATGCTCGCAGAGTGGCTCGCGGAGAACGGGGTCAGCGGCGCCGCGACCTCCCCCCTCCGCGCGATTACTTCTGCGATTGCGGGAGAACATTTCCTATTTCTTCTGAGAGTGCCGCGGAGCCAGACTCCCGACACGGCCAAGTGCACCCGCAGGACGTCCGGCTTCTGTTTGTGAAGGGAAGATCTTGACGGGACAGGAGGAGGGTCGCGAGTGTTCAATTACAGGACAAATATTTCTGACGGGGCAGCTCGGAAGGGAAGGGTTAATGGACACGGCAGGCTGTGTTTAGCCTCAGCTATTACTGTACGGAGCCACACGTGACGGCAAGACAAGGGGTTGTATTTTTCCAGGCTCCAGGTGATAAGGAGTTGTAACCGTTTTTTTGTTGTTGTTAATTCTTCTGTTTGGGGGGGGGTGACACTCCTTACGCCACCCGGAGCCAAGGGAGCAAGCACCATAATTCAAACTTCCGACCTTGGTAAAAACACTTGGGAGTGAACCGTTCAGCGTCCTTGAAGTGAGCTAAGCCAAGCGAAAAGTATCCCCCTGCTCTTAAGAAGCGTTGTTTTACACGCCCCGCCGCGTGTAGAAATTTAAATAATGTATCTCATGGTTTTAGTCAACCTATATCTAGAATGCATACTGTACATGTCCAGTTTTAGCAACAACCCCTTAACATAGAGTAATTCTGTCCAGTCGTATGCGTTACAATATAACACTCACGCCTGTCGTGAGGGAAAGAAAACGACAAATAGAAAAACAATGTTCATTTTATTTGAACGCGTATGAACAATAGCTACCTAAGTTATTTGCCGAATGGACATATTTCAAATACAGCTCGGCTGTAGCTCAGGCTGTCGGATCATCCCGGAACAGCGTGTATTTGTCTACAGGAATTCCACTCGTGCCCCGGCTCTGCATTTTCCACACCATCCCCTCCCCCTTGGAAATGTTTCCATTGAAACTAGAGGCTAGAGCCTCGCCTTGACGTTGACCGAGAAAATGAGCACTAAACACCCGCCCCGTCCCGGCACCGCTCGCCGACCGGCGCAGGGGCGCAGAAACCCCCCACAGCTCCTCGCCCGGGGACTGCGGAGCCACGAAGTCGGCTGGAGACCCAGAACTGATGTTTTATTTTTTTTAAATGAATGCAAAATACATTTCTACACTGAAAACAGGTCCGACGGCAAACAAAAGACTGCCTATTTCAACCACAAAAGGGGGGAAACCGAGGGAAATCCAGGATCTTATGGAAAATGGACCTCAAAATGTACTTGACCGGGGTTCGCCTGCACCTCGTAAAATAAAAATCCGCCAGATGGAATTTCCTCTCAGACGGAAGCGTGAAACATGCAGCGTACCTGTCGTGCAGAAGTCAAATCCACAGCGCCCGAGTCCAGCACGCTCGGCTCCCAGTTCAAATTGTAGCTGCCGCGGTGCTCTTTCTCTGTGCTGTGAACTGTCGTGTCGTGGGTCTGCCACTCGCGGCTGCAGTGCGGGGTATTCTTGTCTCTCGCTGCCCGGGTAGCTTCCGCGACTATTATTTTGCTTTGGATCCCTGGATGTTATGTTGGTTGACTTGCTCCAATTTCTCTCTCTCTTTCCGTCTCCAAATGTATGTTAGTAGGTCACTCGTTGCATAACAGCCCTCTTTGGGTGCCTAGTCACGTTTCGTTTTTCTCTTCAGTAGCCCCCCCCCCGCTCCCCCCCCCCCCCCCCCCCCCCCCCCCTCCCGTCCTTAGCAGCTCTCCCAGTCGCAGCGAGATGTGTGGAGCATCGCAGAGAAAGAGGAAGGACTCGGCGGCGCGCCAGGCATGGCTCAGATGTAGGGCACAGATACACATAATACAGTTACTAAACAGGGAAGGCAGGGAGAGAGAGAGAGCCGGGGCTTGGAAAATAGAATAGCGAGGGAGACATTTTTAGAAACAAGCCTGCAGTAGTCGATATAAAAAGAAACTCGCGTCCTCCTCTACTTGTATTTCAATTTATCGTGCCAGTTTATGGGATTTGCACCCAGGGGACAAAAAATAAACTTAAGGCACAAAATACTCCATTTATGTAATTGTTTACTTCAGGTTTGTTAACTTGTATGCGTACAGTTGTGTCCAAAGTTACTCTGGCCACAGCTTCAGAAAGGCTCTGCAGAGCCACGGAGAGGGGGGGTGAGTGAGAATACTCACTCCCCCCCCACTGGAAAACCCACAGCAGTGCAGGAATAAACATGCAGACTCCACACAGACTGCTCAAGGCTGCAGTCAACCGCATGATCCTGGAGCTGTGAGGTGGTGGTGGTGCTAACAGCTGTACCACAGCTCTGCAGACAATACTGTTAAATTTCTTCTCATGTGGCTTTCAGGTGATATTAACCCAGTCTTTTCCTAACGCGCTGTTTAAAAATGCACTCTCCCAGATAAAGGTTCATTTAGTAAAATATTTTTAAATCGCCAGTTTCTCTGGACTGTACAAGACAGGCCTGGTTTCCTTTTTACCAGTTTACCAGTGCTTTTACTCAGCACTGTGGTGTCACTGCATCAGCTGAAGGATGCTGTGCTCATGTTGATTCTGAGTAGTGTTTTCTTCTTTGTAGCCTGCACACAGAAGTCCTCTTAGAACAGAAGATTCGTTTCAGAGGAACATTACAAAGCACATCTGATATACCAAGAAAATGGCATTCTGAGGAAAGTCTTGTGCAACTAAGTGACTTTTTTTGACCAGCCCTTGTGGTATAGCTTGAGCCGCTGTTAAGCAAACTCAAATTGGTTGCAAAAGGTACAGCTGTAGTGCTATTGGTTACATGAGCTTGTTTCTATAGTTAAGACACAGAATTCCTGGAGGGCTTAGGGTCTGGTGGTATTTGTTTCAACCACAATTAGGAACTGAATGCGTGTCCCCTGCTCCAATCTCTTCATTTTGATTGGTGCAAAAAAAAAAATATACCCTGAGTCAAAGTGTAAAAAACTTCAATGACTTTAAGAAGAGTTAAGTTCCATGCTGGACAGTAGGAAGTGGAAAACACCTGAAGCTTTGCACTGGAGCTGTCTTTCGGTGTAAAGACTATATAATTTGACACATCTCATAAATTACCCAAGCACTGGTCTAAACCCTAATATTGTTCAGCTCCTGTATGTTCATATTGCATGTCCAAAATCTAGAACACATGAGCAAGACATGTAAGGCAACAAATGTAAGACATACACTTGTCTACCAGGGTCCTACTATCTTAGTTCACAGCAACGGTATCTCTTGCGCCTGGAAGCTTTGTGTGAGGTCGGGGAAAGATGCGCCAGATACTCCATTCAGTGTCAAATTCCCTGTAAATAATAATAATAATAATAATAATAATCCCTTACACTTATATGGCTCTTTTCTTGACACTCCACTCAAAGCGCTTTACAGGTAATGGGGACTCGCCTCCACCACCACCAATGTGCAGCACACACTTGGATGATGCGACGGCAGCCATAGTGCGCCAGTACGCTCACCACACACCAGCTGTCAGTGGGCAGGGGAACAGAGTGATGAAGCCAATTTGTAGATAGGGATTATTAGGAGGCCATAATTGGTAAAGGCAAGGGGGGAAATTTGGCCAGGACACCGGGGTAACAGCCCTACTCTTTTCAAGAAATACCCTGGGATTTTTTAATGACCACAGAGAGCCAGGAGGGCAATAGGCCCCACACAGACTGCAGGGTGAGCATCCCCTACTGGCCCCGCTAACACTTCTTCCAGCAGCAGCCTTAGCTTTCCCAGGGTCTCCCATCCAGGTACTGACCAGGGCACACCTGCTGAGCTTCAGTGGGCTGCCAGCTGTGAGTTGCAGAGTGATGTAGGTTGCAGCCCGTTGTTGTTTTGCAGGTCAGCACATCAGAGGAGCATGTCTGCGGGTTATCATTCTCCCTGTTAGCAAAGGTGTTATATTCCTCACCCAAGTCTTCATTTGCAGTTCCAAAATGGATTGATTTAGACTGGAAAAATAATGCATTAATTGAAACTAGCACACAGTGCCTAAACCTGGTTTAATGAGTCCAGCTAATTTGATGGCATTAGCTCTAAGGACCAGGACTGGGAGTGATACAGGATTTTAAAAATCCCCCTTTTTGCATGTTGTTCCTTGGAGCAATGTATAATTGAAGCACATTTTAAGCTGGACATTGTGAAGACCAACCAGCTGGTCTACAATTCAAGCTTTTTTTTTTCTTATTTTACTTTGTCTCCAAATGCAAGTCAATCACTGCGGTTTTGACACGGAGGCTTCCACAGGGCTGAATGAGACTGATCTGGGAGGTAATTTAGCTCTTCAGTGGAGGACCAGGTCCTCTGACTTGTAATCATCACTCCCTGAAGAAATGTTCTCTTGGAGCCACAGGCTTTCCACAGAAGCTCTCATTAACACGAGAGGTGATGAGATTAATTGGGTGTTGATATTGTTCATTTCTAGCAACCAAGACAAAGTGAAAATGTTATTTCACGCAGATGGTCAAGGGGGGATTTTGTAGGTGTCCCGAAATTGTCAGCAAAGCCAGTAGAAAGATTCTTCCTCGCAGAGTGCCGTCTTCCCAATAACGTATTACACTACTGCTGCTCTGCTCGTTCATGTTGCTTCTGTACCAGTTTCAATGTTTACCAGCCAATTTCTGTTGTTGCAGATCACCTACATCTTGTTGCAAACAGCAGTTAAACTCCCAGTTCTTCAGTTCGCACTAGGCTACCTCTGCCTACAGTATGTTTATGACTCCATAGGTCATTTCCATCAGGAGCTGCAGGTTGGGTGCAAGCACTGAGTGCTGTTATAGGGATTTGGACTACAGCCCATCTGGGCGCACTGCAGCTGGACTTTTGAGCAAGGTACTTTATCCTGGCTGTTCCAGCTGCTTAAACTGGTACTAAGAAGTTTTGTTTAAAAAAAAAAAACAGTTGAGCAATTGTAATTTCTGTAAATTGCCTGGGATGAACTTGCCAGATATGTTGTGAAATATCTGTGAAACAGGAATAGTTTCTGTTATTGCATTAGCTTTGCTTTCCAGTTTGATCAGTCTGTCAAGGCACGTTCTCAACATGCCGGTAAAGAGCTTCCAGGAGAGACCTAATTGGGACTTGCGCTTCGAGGTGAAGTGTAGTGCTGCTTCACAATACATCCTGTCCCGCTCTTTTTTTTCACAAGACATTTCCTCCTTCTTGGAAGAAGGAATTTGGATCCGTAAATTCCTGGAAGGAAATTATCAGAGCGGATATGGTTTCATCTTTTAGGAAAGGCGCAGATGACTGCGAAATGGATCCCTTTTGAAGGGGATCTGTGCTTGATAGCTCGTGCCCAGGGCTTAGTCACGCTCTTTAATCTGACACGGCCAGGGATGAAATTAATTTCCTGAATGCCCCGTTCCTGTGGATGGGGGGAGGACAGGGGGTAAATCTTATTACTGGGTTCAAATTGTGGGAGTAGAATAAGAATTTTATTCTGATGTTCCTCGCCATTCCTTTTGTTTTCCTGCTTGTCCGAGTACTTTGTGTTGTTCAAGTCCATTTTTTTTGACAATTTTGCATGTTCTGCCAAAAATAATTAAATGTAAGACATTTATTCAATACAAAAATAAAAAAGACACAACTAAGGCATGAAAAATGTAAAAAACCCAAAACACTTGCATGCAATTTTGCATTATGCTTGTGATCTAGAATATATAAATATAAAAAGGGGTTTTAATCAAGTACAAGCCCATCCACCTACAGGAATGTCCCCATGGGTGTCAATTGGAAGTCTTTGCAGAGGAAAGGAAGGTGTGCATGAGGAGAAAGAATCCTTTTCCCCTCCCCCCTTTTTTCTTTGTTCAAGCCACAGTAGAAACCTTGCCCTTGAACTTGAGCCCACCCCCCCTCCCCTCTGTCTCCCTCCTCCCCCCTTTTCCCTCAGAGCTGCGTCTGCAGGGGTTCCCATGGCAACTGATGAGGTGCCTGCCTAGCAACAGGCTTTCTCCTATGGAAGAAGAGAGAGACAAAGCCAGGCCTTATTTACATCCCAGATCAACACTAGCGCAGAACATGCTGGCTCTTTCATGAATACTTTTAGATACTAGAGGATAAAAATAAGACTGCACAGCCTGGAGCATCTGTCTATTAATACACTTGTTGTAGTACAGTATATGCATGCATAGCACATGCTGCTTTTTAATAGCCAGGCTGTGGAGGTTTTTATTTAGGGATGACATTGGTTAAAACTAGTCTGCCAATGTGGGCGGTACACATTGTGGCAGTGGTGCCTCTCCTAGGTTTGATTTTGCACTGGGGCTCGTTCTGTGTGGAGTTTGCGTGTTCTCTCCTTGTCCCTGCAGGTTTCTTTGGGTGTTTCAGTGGTCCTCATATAGTCAGAATGCTGTCCAGGTTAATGAGAGTCTCTAAACGGTTCCATGCAGGTGTGTGCCCTGCAATGGACTGGCATTGTGTCTGGAGTGCAGCTGTGCACTGTGCCTGCTGGGATTAACTCCATTGGGCTGGATTGCGTCTTCTTGTTTGTAATCGTTCTAATAGCCGATACCCTGGTTTCTTTAATGAAATAGAATCTGGGAACTAGAAGAGATCCTTGGATGCATTAGTTACTAACTGCCCAGTGGGCTAGATGGGCTGAATGATGGGCCTCCTCTCATTTGTAACCAGTCTTATGTTCTTATCACACAGCAGCCCCCTGGGAAGAAAGCTGTTTTTCATGCCTGGTGCCTGGCAGTGAGTGCTGTTATGACTCCCTGTGGATTCCATGCAAGGGAATTTGCAAAACAGTGTAAATGAACTGTAGTCATAAGGGCAGGTACAGAGTACCCTCAAGCCAGCTGTCCTGTCTGACCTCAGTGGAGCAGTCTTGTTCTTGCTGTGTTCACAGTGTGGATTAAACTCTTTGCATTCTTTGCAAAAGCTTGAAAATTACAACTATTGTTAGGTCTTCCTTAATAAAAAGGAGCATTCAAGATGAGACTCCAGGAATTGTGACACATGTTTTTTTTCCTGGTAAAAATGCTGTAGTGTTTTTGTCCTGAGGTGTAAACCTTTTGCTTCCAATATATGTTTGTTTTCTGTGGTGAGTACTGCAAATGTAGCTAAGTATCCATAAGTAGATTACAGATCTCTCAAGTCCACTAAAATAAACCTGCAAATCATTGTCTGGCTCAGGCTTCCAAGTGGCTTTTACTTGTAGCGCTGAAGTTTTGCTAAATCTTTTTTAGGCTCTGGAACGATAGGGGGGAGACCAGAAAACATCGGCTGTGGTGCCCTCAAGTGGCCTTAGTTTGGAATGAATCTGGAAAATGTCAGTCACCTGGTGTTGGTGGTATATTGGACTGTAGGCGTTGATTGCACAGTTTATCTAACAATGGAGGATTGCGCGTTAGTGTCCTTGGTCTCTTATACGTAGTTTTGTGGTATATTGTTGCATGTTTGTTGTGTAATATGCACAGCTGCCCTTCAGAAAGGTCCCTGTGACCATTATAGAATAAAAACAAAAAGAAAACATTAGCAGCAGAGGTAATATTAGATGACTAAACTTTATTCCAAACTTCACCCTAATTAAAAGGAATAAAAAAGAATAACTGAGAAGGCCATGAGAATTCCTTGAAAACAAGCGTTATTTCTGTTTGGTGAAATAGGTATTTCCGCTGTAACTGACTGCACTGTCAACAATGGAAGATGTGGGTGAGAAACATATTCCTGTTTGTACTGTTTTCTAGCATGAAGATGAGTGGATTAGAGTCTCAGCAGCACCTGGAGCTCTTGATGATGTAAGGCCTGTCACTGTGGAAGTACCCAGAAGCGCATTGGGATGCAGCATTGAAGCCTTTTCTGCCCATGTTTTCTGTGAAGCACCCTTTAAGCCAAGAGCGCCCCCTAATGTTAGCCAAAAGCAGGAGGAGCTGCCTCACAGGCTTTGAGAGAGAATATAGGGCGAGTCGGCTTCTAAGCCACTGGAGATGCCTGTAAGAATATAAAGGTCACAAACGAGGGGAGGACTTTCACCCCATCTGACCGGTTTGGTAACTGTTGGCTGGTTGACCTTTGGGTTTGCACTTTTGTCCTCTGGTTTGCGTTTCTCAGCTTATCCTGAAAAAGGACAGCTGCGTGGACCTTTTGAATACTTGAATCCAATCCTCTTGTAGTCTTCTTTGGGGAGGAATAAAAGGACTGAGTCCTGTTAACCCGTTATTGTAGGACATTCCTTTAACTAAACGTATTACTTTGCTTTTCTCTATACTGATTCAGGAGCAGCTGTATCATTTTGAAATGAAGTGACCAGATTGTTTGCAGGATTCTAACTGAAGTCTTACTAATGTGTGGTGCCAATTTTGGGAAAAGTAAATTTAAGTTCTGCTCTTTTAACCGCATATCCTAAGATGTTACCTTTTTTGATAGCTTTCACACACTGTCTAGAAGATGTAAATGATGTGTCGGTGTGAGAGGTACCTGGCTAGAGGAGATATCATCCAGGTGGGGCTGCACATTGGTGGTGGTGAAGGGGAGTCCCCAATACCTGTAAAGCGCTTTGAGTGGATTGTCCAGAAAAGCGCTATATAAATGTAAGCAGTTATTATTAATTATTATTATATACGACTAATGTTGGGCTTGGGTGATAGCTTTGTGCAGCCTTACATCCGTACGTCCCAATCCAATGTTCTGGGAATCTGGGAATCTCACCACAGGTTGCTGTACCCTTTCCTGTCAATGGTCACTCTTGATCAGAGTGGGAGGTGAGGTCAGGCTCTGTTCCTTCCCACCTACAGCCTCCTCTGGCTTCTGTTGTAACCCAGCTGCCAGATTCCTAATTACGTAACTGTTTAAATGGAAGACTTAAATACTACCCTTCAGACTTAAAACAGTCCTAGTATTAATAAAGTAACTTACTTAATAACCAATGTTGCAGTATGCACTGCACTTCTGTAGGAATGCAGCGCCCCTGTTTAGACAGCCTGTCTGTTTTTAGATTTGTCTCTAATTTTGGTTTGGCCTGGTGACAACACTCCCTTTAGGATCTTGCAGTCTAGGTAACAAGATCAAAGGGGAGACTAGCATGTGTTTGTAGTGATGCAGATGTACCGCGGGGTTCATTTCACGTAAAATGAGTTACTGATAGTGTGCTACAGTATGTACACATACAGTTAGAGGCCATGTCCAATCCTGTGGATCTACAGTTCCACCGCATGCTTTACAGATAAAGAAAAGTCGGTTAACCAATTCATTGTTCCAATTAAGAAATAAAGAGCTCACATGAGCTGAACATCAGAAAGCCCCCTTGAGCCTCAATGATGTGTCAGTCGGGAGTCTGGTCTCTGCTCTCTGGTCAGTCATGTCAATGAAGAGAGCTCTCCAGAGTTATTTGTTAGAGTTATTTGGCTGCTCTCCTGACAGCTCTTTGTCACCCTTTGTGTGGAAAGAGAATGAATATATGAGGGAAATGGAACTGGAGGACCCAATTGTATGTGGTCTGAACCCAGTTTGACATGCAGTACTGTACTCCTATCCCGAAACAAGTTTGGATTCCTGTTCTTTTACCTTCAACCCTGGGCATCCTACCAGTTGAACACCCATGGTTTCAAGGGAAAACCCCATACCGAAATTCACCCAGTAGCACACACCACTCTTCCTCCTAGTGTCATCTGCTTCTCGTTCCAACATGGACACTTTATCTGAATCAGCTGGTAACTTTGACAGTCACTTTTAGGAGAAGCAGAGCCTTAAATGCTAGCTGCTCAGTGCACTCACTAACTCCCGTGACTTCAAATGGAAGCAGGTTATGACTCTACAGCCTGCAATTGTGCAAGCTGCTCACAGCATAGGGGCCACTTGTTTTCTTGTAATATAACAATTATTAACCTTTTAAAAGAACTTAGATGAATAACTTATGGACTGCTCTTTTATTTTATATTTCTTTTAGGAAAGAGGCCAGGCTAGCAAGCCTCAAGTTATATCTTCTTAGGCGTGATCGGGATTCTGATGACAGCGATCATCTTAATAAGCTGTTGATGTTAGAATTTGGGGCATGCTGTTAGGTGTGCAGTTTAGCCAGAAGGACCGATTTCTTTTTCAGCTTCTGTGAAGCTGCAGTTTGATTAACTTAAGCACTTAATCACAAATCATTTACAAGAGCTGCTGTTGGTTAGCTTCATAACCAACATGAGTGATTAGTCGTCTGATGTGACCGAACTGCGCTGTGACCAGCTGCCACCTTCTCAGCCTTGTACAGGACCTGTTGCAAGAGCTGCGTGTCGCTGCAGAAAGAAGAGTTTTGCAGCTGCCAGGCTCACTTCAGTTCATCCCAACTGGGTTTCAATTGCTTTACACACAAACGGGGAACAGGGTGTACTGTCCAAAAAAATCTTTTATTTAAACGTAAAAAAAGATAATATATATTATATACAATACATAAACAGCACTGTACCTACAAATATTTACAGAACCCCTAGATATACTTCCAATAAATATACTGCATTTCTCTTTTATACATAAAGTGTACCATGGATATGAAATACTGCGTGAATGGGCATCACAATGCATCTTTCTTTGCTTTGTACGAGAACACAGTGTAAAACCTGAGCAGCACTTCTGCTGTGGGGGATTTTTGTGTGTGTGTTTGGGTGCTGATTAGTCCTAGTGCGGCCCTGGTCTGCGGCCTGCCTGTGTGCCCTGGTGACTCCAGGTACCTGGGGTCCAAACAGCTTAGGAAAACGAATCCGTAGTCTGAAGCCTGAGCTCATCCTCTGGATGTTTGTAACGGTGAAACCTTTATCTGGTTTAAAAGGTGGTGGACGTGTGCCAAGTGTGACGGGAGATGAAATGGCAACATTTCGCTGGGTGTGGTGGAGAGAGGGCATGCCAGCCCTGTCTTAAAAACATACAATATATTAATTACACCTGGACAGCAGAAGGAAAAGACAGAATAATGTTATACACAGCTGACACCCCCTTCCCCACAAGAGTATAGTACCGTACTTGCTACTGCTCTTCTGCGTTAGATGTGATGCTTTGAGGTCCTTAGTATAAAGAAAGTGCTCTACGAATGTAAAATAGTGTGTTCTGGTCTCTGCAGTCCCTCTAGTGAGTAGCGAGAGCCATTGAGATGAGAAAGTCTTTGCAAGTTCAGTACAGCTGTAAAACCTGACCATGTAAAACTTTGTGGACTTATGCCTGAGGTCATCAAATAAATAAGGTTTAGTATTAGTTATGGGTCCGTGAGAACCATGTTTTCTTACCTAAACTAATTTTAGACATACATACCGTATGTTATGCTGAACTATATATCTCTTTTGGTGTTGTAGGTGAAGTTCAAAATTGACAAATGGATCAGGTACAATGAAGAACATACAGATTACTTTTCTTCTGCTTTAAAGAATGGCAATATGTCGGTGTCAAATGTAAAACCTATTTTTTTTAACATGAGACATTTGGGTGGTCTGAAAGTACTTTCTAATCCTGACCTGATTTCAACAGGTAATATTTCACTAAGGCCAGTTACTGCACCATTTTTCTCTGCTAAATGAAAAAGCACAAGAGACCCTCCTCCAAAACATTAACATGTTAAATTGATAGCTAAATAAGAAGAGATGAAGAACTTGCTTTCCAGATTAAAGCACTCTGACCTTTTGTTCCAGTTATGCAACAAGATTAATTTTACGGTGCTAATGATTTCAAGGAGTAAAACACTCAGTGCTTCTCTCTTGCATACTTAAAAAAAAACATACTTGCTACTAGGCCATTGAACCATTACAAATGAATTTTCACATGGTCTTGATACCCTAGATAGGTAAGGTTTTTAAATGTCTCTTCATTAAACGGGCCGAGTCCTGCCCCTCTGTTGTGTGGAGATCAAAGTGTTCTTCCTGCGCTGGAGGTGTGCAGGAGACGGGCCGGCGCCGCGGACAGGTCGTGACCTCTTAGGCCACTTTGGAAAGCAGCTGCTGAGAGAAGAGCTTCTTGAGCTGGGCCACTTCCTCTCTGAGGGAAGTGAGCTGGGACTTGAGGGCCGTGTTCTCCAGGTGGAAGGTGCTGTCCTGTGGGGTGGCGGAAGGGTACCCGCCCGGCGGGGCACAGTACTGCGGGTCTTCCCTCACGCGCCCGCTTTTCGGATCCTCGCCAGGCTGGTACCGCCACGAGGGCTGGACCAGGCCCCCGCCGCCCCCGTTTTCCAGCGGGCTGTTGCCACCCAGGAGAAAGGAGCCTCTCATCGGCTCCCGCGCCAGTTCCCGGCCCCCGATCGGCTGGACAGGGCTGCGCCGGCTGTCGGCGCCGACGGCCTCTGCGCCCTCGGGGCTGCTGGGGGTCTTGAAGCGCAGTTTGTGGGGCAGGCTCTTCATCCCTTCCCCGCAGTCCAGCCTCCCCACGCGGCTGGCCTCCCCGGGGTAGTGTCCCGAGCCCGCCAGGCCCTCTGCTTCTCCGCCCGCGGGGCAGGAGTGGGCCTCGTACCCCGGTTCCTCTGCGCCCCGGGGGGAGAACTTGCCGTGCTCGCTCAGGCGATCGTCAAAGAACACCGGACTGCCGACGCTGGAGCTGCCCGGGGTGGAAAACCCAGAATCCTCCGAAAAACTGGGAGTCTCCCGGCTGCCGTTCAGGCCGCGGCCTCCATATCCATGGAGATACGGCTGGCTCGCAGAAGAGGCTTGCCCTGCGTAGGTGCTTTCTGTCCTAGGCAGGTAGCCCGAGTGCATGGGCGCGCCTGGGTGGAATCGGGCTGCTGCAGGGGCAGGAGGAGGGGGGGCGGGGGCAATAGGGGCGGCGATGGGCAAGATGGTTGTCTCGCAAGGGTCCTTGACGAGGCCGAAGCGGAACTTGAGGGCCAGCAGCTCGGCCTTGAGCCTGGCGTTCTCCTCCAGCAGGGCAATGACGCGGTTCTCCAGCACCATGTCGTTGACCCGCCGCTTCTCGCGCGAGCGCTTGGCCGCCTCATTGTTCTTCTTGCGCTTGTCCCAGTAGCCCTCGTCCTTCTTCTCGTCCGGGATGAACTCTCGCTTTCTCCTCAGGGAGGCGCTGTCCTTGTGCTTCAGCTGGGTGCGGCCCAACAGGGACCGAGCCAGGATGCTGTTGGTCGTAAGGATGGACACGGCCTCATCTGTGAACGACAGCCCCCCCGTCTGAGTCTCCGGAGCAGCTGCTGTAGGAGACGGAACCAGCTCCTGCAGGAATTCTGCGTCCGGAGTGCTATGGCTCCCTCCTGGGATACTCTGGTCCCTCATATCGTGAGAGCTGTTAGCAGTGCCCCCTATACTGCTCATCAGAATCGAGGGTACTTCTGTCGAGTTCTCTTCTTCCACGTTGTTTGAGCTCGGTGGTGATCTCCGTGCAGCAACACCCCCACCTAGCGGCGAGAAGAGCAAAGCGCAGGGGGCGGTGAGGGACTGTATTTGTGTAAGCGTTATGTAAGAACTGTTACAACACTCCCGTTACGTAACTCACTTGTAACCACTGAACTGTCTCTCCTGTACAATTCCCGTTGAGCCACTTTTAATCATACATAAAAACAAAACAAAACAAAACATCCACGCTAGGAAGAATAAAAGATTTCACTTTGGCTTCTATGTTTGAAAAAATAAGTTTAACCTTTTCCTGGACTCGACTAGAACAGAACTCCTTCTGGGGATATGTGGAAGAATGGATGATATAACAGGACTTGATGTCATAACTGTACTTTTTACATAATGATCTTTAGAACGTTTAACTCGCCAAGTTTTTCAAACTTCCACTAAAGCTTACAATTATTTAATTAAGCACCTATTGGCTTGCCTACTGCACTACTTTCTCTGACAGAATTAAGCTATTAAGTGTTAAAGTACGCAGTTTTTTTAACCATTGCACTGCCGCGTGACAGCTTCTCCTTTTTTGTTTTAATTCTCCGCGGTGGATTTAAATAACGGAATAAATACATCAAGGTCGAGTCTGAGTAAATCCTCAAACCCCTATGCCTCCATCGCGGAATCCGACTGCGCCTTGGCGTCAGTCGAAAGGAAACGTCCAGACCTACAATGTCCTTGACGGAGCTCACGCTTAACTGGGTCGGACTGCTGTATCCCCCTTCACGTCACTTCACAATCGTGACAGTCCCACGGCCGGATTCTCAAAGGCTCCTATCGCTCTAGATCGACCTTTACTGCGAGCACAGCCCTGCATCAGGGTTTGGGTTTGACCCGGGTTCTCTACCGGGGCTTGAGAAGGTTTCCCAACTTTACTTTTCATACATAAACCAAGCGACACGACCGAAGTGTAAATAAAAAATCACTTATTGTAGTCGCCTAAGCCCACTAAACTACGACACTTTTTGGTTATCTTCAAAGTATCACACAAATCAGTTGAATCCAGTGTGATCGATCATCAAAGCAAAACCACGAATCGGGTATTAAAAAGCGCTTCTGAAGACATCCACGCAGTGGTCCTCAAACCACACATTGATCGCACGCACTGGATTGGATTATTATTTTTTCCTTTAGTTTCCGATTTAATGCAGATTTATTCTCGTCATTTATTATTTAAGAGTCATCAACAGTGGTCAAACATAATGGTGAAACAATATTATCTGTTAAGGACGAATGGCAGGAAATATACGATGTTTATATCTTTTAACCGGCGTGAAAAATGAAATCGTTTTTGCCTACTTTTTTCTGAATCCTATCAATCCTACATTTAACTACAGAATTTCTTAAATATACATAATATTTTTATTAGTATCCCTGTCTTTTTGGCGTACTTTACAGGCATACCTTTGCATGTTTTTAACATTGAGCTGATAAACATTTCTTCCAAACAAGGAATATAACGTCTTTTTTTGTGATACCTGTACTGATAAAGCATCGGACTTGTTTTAGTTAAATTCGGGCAAAGACTGAATTTACGGCTGAACTTTTCTGTCCCAGTTTCTGCCCAGATCACTTAGTAGGTTGCGGTGTTTATTTCCAGTACAAAGGTTACTTGAGTAACATTTTTATTGCTGCCGTAAATAGCCCGCAAATCACGTATCGCCCTGAAGCACTAACGTCAGTCCCAGAAAAAGGTTATTTTATACGAGTCGCTGGAAGAAACCGGAGTAAAAGACTCAAACGTTGCACGATTCCCTTGCAATTTCCAAATGTAAATGTGTTTTTTTTCTGGTAGCCACGTCAAAAGCATTTACATAAATATTATGTCGCTCCTGTAACAGCGAAACGGTTGGTCGATAGCTAATCCCTTTTTAAGTGTATTGTATTTAACCTATATTTAGTAAGTACGGATCGTACAGTACAAAGTTTTAAAGATTTGAATGCGGGGCGACAATTCAGCCGTTAACATCAACCGTTTATATCGGTTATACTGATATGAATAATAATGATAATGATAATACAATAGTGCTTTTTTATATTTCCTTACCTGCGCGCAAGCAGGACGTCGGTTATTTTAGCTCCTCTCAGGTTAGCCGATATCCCCCGAACTGGCAGTTTTTTTTGTTGAGTTTTACGGGTTTTATAAACGTTGGTGCTGCGTTTATACTAGCGTATGAAGGGAAAGGGAGCGAGAACGACAACCTCCAGTTCTCGCTGCTCGGCTCCGTTAAGCTCCTTCTCCCAGCTCGGCTCGTTTGTCTCTGCTCACTACTGAATGGCGCAGCCTGTATTTGTTTCTTTTCCCCGTGAAGTTCAGATAAGGACGCGGCCTCACCTCAGATGAACCGCGGGGCTCTGGTAAAGTGGGCCCGGTTAAGACCGCCCAGCAAGCCCGCCTCTCCGCTGAGCGAGTGAAGCCCAGCCCCGCGGCCACAGCCTCCTGTATCCCCTCCTCTCCGCTAAAGATCTTACATCGATAGCTCTCTGGCAGGCTCCAAAAGCGAGTTAATCTTTTCGTAACGATTAGGTAATGTCTTTCCCGATGACCTGCATGTATTGGAACAGTCGGCGTTCGTGGTTCCGAGTTCCTGTTTTTGTTTATCGCCACGCGTTAACATAATGATTTCATGACGCATCGGCGAGCTATTCCTCGAATTCTTCTGGACTACTCCGTCCGTCCTTGCCTTTCCGCAGTTGTTACTAAACGATTTCCTCAATAGTCGGCTGAGAATAAGAGATACGCTGTTTTATCGCGGTTGAATTCAACGACTAGAGAAGTGAGGTTTTGGCCAAGGGACGTATTTCAAACCTTTCCAGATTCCCGATGGCCGTCAGGATTACTGCGTCTTGGCTGCTGCATTTAAGCAGAAAACCGTGAGGAAGATGTGATCGCGCAGCCCTGACTCTACCCTTTGTACCCCCCAAACACTTCTGAATTTTAGGAGATGAACCACAAATTCTCGTTTGTTTTTTAAGTGTCAAATCAGAACATAGTCTTATAGTTTCTGAAAACTACAAAAATAGGACTGGTGCCGTTCCTTTAAGGTTTGGAGTGTATGGGGGGGATGAGTTGTGTCAGACAAAACCTAAGTTTGGGGGGCTGTCTTAACTCAAATTTATTTTTTTTGCAACTTCAGCTAAGATATAGATTTAATCTTGTAACCCCTTAATGAACATGAAATAACTTTCCAAATGTTCCAGGAATTGCATTTTACCCAAAAGGTTGTGGAGTGTAGAAAAAGCAGCTCGGCTCTGATGTAAATATTTCCTTCAAGAAATGGCTGGATGAGATCCACGGATCAATTAACTACTAATTCCCAAACGGGTCAGATAAGCTAAATGGCTTAATGACTTAATAACTAATAATTGGATGAGATTAGTAGTGGGTCAGATGGGTCAAACGGCCCCTTCTCATTTTTAACCCTTCTTATGTTCTTAACTGAATTAAAAGAAAATCTCTTGGTGCGTATTCCCAAAAAATGTCAAGACTTCCTTGCAAGACACACTTCCCCTGCACTACCTGTCTCCATCCATGTCTCTGTGCTCCCTTTCTCAGCTTTTTCACATTTGTTCTCCCTTGTCCTGTCACTCTCTGTGTTTCTTGCTCTTTTAAGTAGAACAGAGCAGATTGGCATTTCTGACATAACTACCCTCTTGTCAAAGGATCTCGAAGTAGACCAAGTTATGATAGACCTGTAGAATAGTTTCAGTTCATGTGCCTCTCCTTAGAAGGCCAGGATCTTTCCCTCCATGTGGAACAGGGCTCCCTAAGTCTTCGCGTTTGAGGGGAAACATGTTTTGGAGGTCCTTCTTATTTTTGTAGATAACCAACAGCACAGGACCTCATGAAACAGATCATTTAGTATAGTTAAGAGACTGTTTTAACTCTTCTGCACAGGTCAGAAGCTGCTGATGTTTTACTACTAATAATAATTGTTTACACTTATATAGCACTTTTCTGGACACTCCACTCAAAGGGCTTTACAGGTAATGGGGATTCCCCTCCACCACCACCACCAACACTAGTGTGTAGTCCCACCTGGATGTCAACAAAATGCCATCTTTAAGGAGGGAACAAGCCACGGGAGGCCCTGATATAGAGCCTGTTCGCTAGAAGACCCCTTTAAGCACTTCCTGCTGCACAGAAGACCCATCCATTTCTCTGTACTGATGAAACATCTTCCCCTTTTTCCAACCGCTTTGTCCAGTTCAGGATGGGTAAAGGTAACCCCTCATCAGAAGACCAGGAAAGGAATCGGTGTCCAGGCTACAGAGGCGAAGTGATCATCAGGTCTTGATTTCAGCTGAGGTTAAGGCATCATACAGCAGCGTGAGAAAAATAAAAACGTTTATCTCTTTTTCTCTGCCCGTTTCCCCTGGCAGCGCTCTCTTTATAGCCAGATATCAGTATATACAATTTCCATGCAGCCCCCTCTTCCAGCAGCTGGATGACTTTCCTTTCTGTAATCAAAATAAATAATTTGTATCTACCTGTGGTCTACACATTACACATCACAATCACTTCTTTTTTGTTAACAAAAGAAGCATTTTAAACACAAATAATGTTTTACAGATGTGAGGTCATCATTGCTTTGAGTAACCACTGGTACAGCCATAAGGTTGCAAGTGTAAAGATTGCCGTAATTTTGAGATTATCATGGTGTTAAATAAAATCTAGATAAAAAACAATCCGTTACGAGGGAGCCGGAGTCTATCCTGGCAAGCAACTGGCGCACCCTGAACAGGACTCCAGTTCATCACAGGCCAGGCAGACACAGACACACACTTGCACCTGGGCCAGTTTTCCAGAACCCTTAAATCTTAAGAAGTAAATCTTAAATGCCCGGAATGGTGAGTTGCAATCTTGCCAAAGCTACAACAATTAGCAAAATATTTACATTTGCAGCAAAAACATAATTGCTATTATTGGACGCTTTCAGAGATTTTTAACGACATAAAACTTTTTGAGACAGTCTGTTTCCCAGGCTGTGACAGGAGATGATCACACACAGGGCTTGTAGCTCCTTTTCATTCCCCACCTCTGATTTAAGCAATGGATTCTGTCGGGGAGACTGGGAGAATATCTGTTCTGATCTGAGGAGTAAATCGAACTGGGGCTAAAGAGAAGAAAATAATGAACCCCAAATGAAAGGTTTTATAACACAGTGTGGCTTTGCCAATTAATCATATCCACTTGTGATGTATCACCTCAGCCTTTTGCCTGTGTTGCTTCTGTTGAAGGTGGATGACCTTTTTAGAAAATTCAATATGGTATTTTGAAAAAGTTTCAACGTGCCTAGTATGCAATTCACTAAGAGGTCAAGTAGGGAGCTTAGAAATGTTTTTTTCTTTTTACAATTGAGACAAAGTGCAGTATATTCAGTGTTAGAAGATAAAGGCAAAGAGAAAAGGGACTGACTATCTGAATTGCGAATGGAGATTTCCTGGGTTTGCAGAAGGTGCTTTTAAGAGGTGATTTAAACTCAGTAGAATTAAAAGCAGGTCTGTGCTTTTATTTTAACTTGTTCTATTTTCCTCAAAAAGCTACATTTCATGTGATTTTGGTCATCCCACGTAAAGAGATGACACACTTTTTACAGTACAACAGTACTGCTTTTTGTCTCATCAAGTGCAGTCTACTGTCTTGCAAAAACATTTTGCCCTTATTAAAAATAATTTAACCATTTGTCCCAGTACACATGACAATGTGTTAGCTAAGGCTTATTTAAAGAGCAGGCTGTAAAATGTTTTGAGATGGCATTGGCACACATGGCGCAGTTGCATCTTCTAAAATGTCTGCATGGTGGTGTTAAGAGCAAAACCATCTGGGCTTGCTTTAGCAGAGCACCCCACTGAAAGCAAACCAAGCCCACAGTGTTTTCTGTAACTGCGTTTTGATCTTTAATCTCTACAGTTAACCAGTGCTGCCCCCTCATCTCAAACATTTTTGCGGTGTCCTTCCAAAAAAAGACCTCACTAGTTTTTACTGAGAAACTCAAGACCATCCTTTTACTCCTTTCAGATGATTGCTGTTCCTCGATTTGAACATTTAGAAGGATGACGTTTTTCTCTTCAGATCGGGTGATGTGGTGATTCTTTCTTTTCCAAGTGGATGTGACTTTATCTGATTTTCAAGCTTAAGGGCGTATCACGTTTTCGTGTGTTGCCTTTAACATACTGTCCGTCTTCAATTTGAATTTTGTAATGCTATCTTTTGGATCCTCAATATGGAAATCGAAATGGGAAGAATGCTTCTTTTGTTGAATTCGCCTTAAAAGCGCATGTGAATGCTGCAATTTTACACATTTTGCTCCAGTTAAGAACCAAACAACAGTGTCTCGTGTTTTATTTCAGATGGTCCAGCTCTGGTGAGAGTAAACCTTAGGGGTTCAGACCAGCCTCCTTAAATAAAATCAGTTGAAAAGGAACAGTAGGGGTTAATTCCATGGTGAAAAGTAGGAAGAAAAAATGCAACATTTACCTTTTTCAGGCATGAAGGAGAGAGAGGAAGGTAACAGGAATATAAAGGAGAGATTGAAGATGGGCAGACATGCTCTTTGACAGGCCCACCCATCAGTGATATTCACGTTTCTGATTGTTTGATATCAATTTAGATTAGATCACAGGTCCTTAATTATACCAGTCCAATAACTGCACTATGACCCAGACATGGCTGTTTTGAGCTGGGCCCCTAATTTCCCAAGCGGTCACACATAATTGCCTGAGCGCTACCAGGGTCAGGGTTGGTTTAGTCAGCCAGGGTGCTGTCAATTTCCTGCTGCTCCTGAGGTGTGCTGGCTGGGCTCCTCCGCTCTGTGCCACCTCTCCTGTGGGGCTGGGAGTCTGCGACACATGACGCATCTCCAAGAGCACGGCTGTGTCTCATCCCGTCCCAAGCAGGTACCGAAGTCACTGCCGAAGAGCAATCAGACTTTACAGGTCGAATGAGTATATAATAAAAAAAAAGATATTCTAATCTTTACTGTTGAGGAGAAGAAAGCAGGCACTGGAATAGACTGGAAGATGTGAAATCTGGCATTCCCTTATGCAGCAGATTGATGGCTTCTATTGAGAGAGCAAGCGTCTGTGAGTCTCTGAAGTGCTGGGTCCCTTCTTTACTGCAGTTCCAGACCACTCCAGGCTCCATGGACAGTTGCCTACTATTGTGTGTGTAACTGAAGTATTGGAAGGACTCAAAGCCCTGTCATATTAAAACAAGCAGCCTTGACATGGAGATAATAGCTGTTTTACTTGTGGGCAAACTACGGGCAAAGTGCCCACTCCACAGTAAATGAATTAGATGGGCAAAACGCCCACGGTTTTGCCTGCAGGAAAATAAAAAGCTACATAAACATGCAGAGAATATCTCATATAAATTGCCTTTGAGAGTCACGCAGGGCCTGAAGCAGACTGCAAGGCAGAAGGCCGATATTTATGCTGTGTTCCATCATGTTTGGTAGCGGAGAGGGTGGGTTTTCGTTTTGAAATGGACAGATGCTGGCTGAAAATGTTGGCAGCAGAGGCTGAGCTCTGTCTGCTGCAGGAATCCTGCTCTTCCAGCCTGCGGGAATGTGAGCAATTGACCCATGTTCGCCCGGGCTGGATTGCAGTCCTGCTGGCTGAGTTCACTGGCCTCTGCATGTTTGCAAAGAGTATCGCAAGCCCCAGTGTCCAAACACAGGGGGTCAAGGGTCGATGCAGCTGGGAGCAGGAACTGAACTGGACAAACACAAACAGGCTAAGTGGAGCACTGCTGGGGGCAGGCAGGACCCTTAATTTGTGGTGGAAGTTATTGAATCGAGAGAATTATGCATTTTAACACAGCATTGGGAAATCACAAATGAATAAGTGGTCACATAAGTAATGATATTTGAAAAGATCTGGGGGTCAGGAGTGAAAACCTGCAAAGTGTGATTTTTCTTTTCTTCTCCTGTGTTGTAAATACAGTGGAAAGATTATTTTAGTCACAGTGGAAGAAGAAAACCATGCACTGAGTTGCACGGTCATTTGACCGGTGGCCATGTTGCACACAAGAGGAGGAACTACGCAGCTTATGTGATGGTTAAGTCAGTTTGTGTGGCCACCCTACAACCTGGGATGTCTCCCAGCCTACTGTTATAGCTAAAATATGAACCAGAACTGGTCCTGGTTGTGCTTGTGGTGATCCTGTATTTGGGCTCAGGCGTTGCCATTTTTACTTTTCCCCCCCACCATGCCACATCGCAAACTCAGCTTTGCACAGGAAATGCAAAAACCTACAAATATTGATTAGTTACTGAAGGAGATTTCCACAGAAATATACACAGGAAGTTCATGGAAGTTTAAAACTTGACTGGACAGGTACATGTGCCAGTTCATTGCAATGAACTGGCCTCAACAGGTATTCCCTGACTGATGGCATGCTGGTCAGTCCCTCCAGGGACTGTTAGCTTTCACCATAATACTGACCCTTTCAGGGTTTGCCTGGAAATCTGCTGGAAGTGTGCATTAAGAGCTGTGGCTTCCTTCTGTTGCTTTATTCCTGCCATTGGTGCCATGGATGTTCCAGCATGAAAAGGGAACTGATAAAGTTCCCAAATGGCTGAACCTGTAAAAGAGAGGCAGCGTGCCGTTTTGCAGAATGCCTTGGGATTTAATCAGCCAGGATCCGCTTTGGTTTTCGGCGCAAGAGAGGTGCCTGCAGGCTTCCAGTGACCTCTCCGAGAGATATTCTGCTCCTTCGGCCTGTGCTGTGGAGCTTGGAGCTTCCCGCCTGTCAGAAACGTGAATGGCTGTGATGACTGAGGATGTCAGGACAGTATTCAGTATCTGCCCATCCTCGTTCTGCCCTTACAGACGTGTAAAGAATTAGATGGAGACTAAGTGAAACGTGCAAAAAAGAAAGGTGTTTAAAAAACAGCTGTTGTATTCATATCTCCTGTGTTTTATGTAGGTTTGTATGTTGGTAGAGAAATAACTGGAAAATGGAAAAGTCGGCAAATAAAGGAGACCTTTCCTTTATTTCTCTTCTCGTGTTTCTGATGTTTGTAAATCTGAAGGCCCTTTTCAGCATTAGCACATGCACTGTCTTAAGGCATGACAGCTTTATAGAGATTTTTTTTTTCTGTCAGTGTAATGGACAAACTGGGGCATACAAAAATCGAAAACAGAAGCGCTTTTGATCTCCTGCTAAACTTGTCACTTTAAATCGGGAGTCATCTGATTGCCAAGTGATCGCTTCGTATTAGAACCAGGGCGCCTGCTCGCTGGGCTCTGCCGAGGAAGGGAGCTCAGTTATGTTTTTGAATCTCTAGGTTTGGGGGGGGGGGGGGGGTCAGTTATGCAAGATGAAGGGAATGTGTGAGGACACGATGCCGAAATGCCAAGCAAAGGTCGTTTCAGGTTTCTGGAACAGGGTCTGCGATTGTGCACTATTGATAAACCTGACAACGAACACCACTGCAGCTGTCCCAAGTTCAGCTCGGATAAGACCACTGTCATTGCATTGCACCACTCCAGAAGCAGAGGGCCACAGCACGGGGTCAGTAGCCATTTCCAGTGCTTGTTGTTAGATCCCAAGCATCTTTGTGCTGTCGTTTGTTTTGGAGAGAATATTATGTTTTATTGTGTAATCACCTCACTCAGAATTGCCAGTTGTTCAAGACTCTGATTCATGGCTGCTGCTGAGAAACAGGACCTGTAGACCTGCTCATCTGCCACAAACAGACTGCTCCTGCGAACGACGTAACATCTACACTCCCTCAGAGACCCAGTGCTGCTCTGCCAGTCAGTCACTGCTGCATGGGCACCTCTGGTCCAAGTGGCCTGGTGAGATGGTATCCAGGTTCAAACTAATCTAGGCCACAGGGTTCACCCTGTGCTCTGGAGAGCATGCATTAAGAGGCTGAGACACAGCAAGTCCAGTGAGTAAATTGAATACACCAGCAACTGAAGCAGCTCTGCCTGGTAACACTCCATGCTCACAGGTGTGCACAGGAGCCTGGCCATCCAGTTTGGAGATGCTCTGCCAAGTGCTTGTGCCTGAAACACTCCTGGTCATAGGCAGGTTATGACATGAAACGTGGTTTGAATCTCTTTTCTTTGCCAATCATTTTTTTTTGTCTTTTCCCATTTTCTCCTCTTTTGAGGAAATTTCAAAACCTTTCCTCTTCCAGTTGCACATTCATATTGACCAGATTAATAAGCAGTTTTTTTTAGGTCTAATCACTTCATTTTTCACCAGTTATGAAACTTTAAAGAGGGTGGCAGAGTGGAGAGGTGGTTGGCGTTCTTGACTCACAACTGGAATGTTGTGGGTTCAAATCCCAGGTACGACACTGCTGACATAGTAACTGGTATCTCCAAGAGCATGGCTGTGTCTCATCCTGTCCCAAGCAGGGACTGAAGTCGAGTGGGTATAAAATAGAAAACAAATCATTAGTGAGTCTGCATTAAAGACAATGACATTCTAGTCTTAGTTATTACTATTATTAACTACAATATCACTATTATAAACTTGAAAGTTATCAGTAAAGGTCAGAATTTCCCTGCAGCAGCTGAATGAGCAGGGAATCTAAGAGAATATCTACAGAGTCCTCCAAGAACACGGAAAAAATCCTTTTCCTGCGGTGCCACGGGGGCAGCCATGGAGGCCGCAGTGTAAGTCGAGCAAGACACAAACATGCAAGTGATCGCTGCTACAGCGTCTGGAGAGCTGGTCACAAAAAGGCCACTCTCAGTCACGTGAGTTGGGAACCATGTATGGGAGCAGCTCTGAGAGCAATGGAAGGAATGGCTAAGAACACAACTTGAAAACAACTTGGCGTTCTGCAGGCTTTGAATGAGTGCATTTATCGAACAATTGCAGCAGTGTTTGTTAGAGCTGATGGGCGGGTATACAGTGTACTTTGATTCTGCTGTGAAATAGTCGAAAACACTGCATGTTAGACAGTCCATACGGTCTTTCCTTAGTTGGACAAGCATGCTCATCCCGGTCTCTGCAGCACCACGAAAGCCCTGTGTCTTTACAGCTGCCAGGTCTGAGCGATGGCGGTGGCTGTGGGCGTGATGTCCTGGGATAGCTCCTGAGCGCTGCACGTTCGCCAGTTCACGTAAGGAGACAGCTCAGTGCTCCCCCTCTCTCTCCCCTGAGCAGAAACCACTCTCTAAACCCACTCGCTGACTCCCTGCCAGCCTTCACATTATGACAGTTTGTGTAACAGCCTGAAACATTCTCAGAGCAGCAAGTCAATAAGCACTTGGCA